TGGAAACATTAATACTGCAGTTTGCCCTGGCATGCCGGTTTATTTTGGGGTAGGCGTATGGGTCCTGCAGAGAACAGAAAATAGTCAGAGGAAATTAGAAAAGGTTGGCTTAGTACACAGCGGCAGTGGATGCCAGGTAGGATGGAGTGAAGATTCACAATCACCTTCTGTGACGTATTCATGATCACTTTCAGTATTGGCCATGAGAGGAGGGTTAAACAAAGTGTTTCGCCTGGTCATAATGACATAACTATTCCAATGGGGTAAAAAATAGTACTCACTTCCAAATGTTTGACTTTTTTTTTTCAGGCATTTTGAAACTTTGGCCAAACGACTAATAGCAGAAGTTTGATTTCAAATTTATAACATTTTTTCTGATACAATATAACCATAATCAACCACTACAACATACTTAGGGTTGCCAGATGGTTTAACAAAAAATACTGAACCCCACCCCTCCCAAAAAAAAAAAACCCACTGGGAAAAAATTCTGTTGAGGAAAAAAAAATTGGAAGACCAAAGTTGTTAAGCAAATAAAAAAAAAATTAACAAAATGGCCCCGTGCTCCTCACTTCCCCCGCTGCCAGATGAGGCAAGGCAAAATTGTCCCCTCCGGGCTTCCATGCTCCTCATTCACCTGCCCCCACCAGACGTGGCAGGGAAATATTGTCCATGCCAAGCTTCCATCCGAGGGAAACAGGAAATATTGGACATTTCACATGTCCAGTATTTTTTTTACCTGGACGGGGGACACGAATACCGAACTGTCTGGGAAAAACCAAACATCTGGCAGCCTAAACATACTCATGACAAACAAAAATAATATAATTTCAATTTTACAGATGAAACAATGAGGAATCCTGTGGTACTTTAAAGACTACATTTATTTGAGCATAAGCTTTTGTGGGTTAGAACCCACTTCATCAGATCCAATGCCCACCAAATGCAGGTTGGATCTTCCTGGTTCAGCACCTTCAAGGACTGACTGGTCCCACACAAGGGGGTTTGCTGGACCAAGGAAGGTCAGGGCTCTGCCAGGAGCACTGGCTGCCCAGCTGACTCCAATTCTGGCCACTGACCCACTCCCAGTCCCCAGCAGCTGCCAGCTGGGCTCCACTGCTGGTCACTGGGGCTGCCAGCAACTGTGGGTCAAAATTTTTGCTCATTTCAAAAGGAAAAAAAAGTAGAATAGAGTCTCACCTTCTTCCTGAGAGGTTATTTGATTTATTATTACTATCTGCAGCAGAGTAAAGTTCTTATTTCATATTATGAGTTCTTCTTTGCTAATATATGACTTCTTTTAAAGAACTTCCATCTGTAGGACTACATTTATATACAGCCTCACCAAGAGCAGAGATAAAAATGCTTATTTACCAAAACCAAATCCAAATGGTTGTTCATTTAAAAATAATAAAAAGTCTATCCATGTTCCTAGGTTCCAAAAGATTTTCAAACATTTTTCCTCTGACATCAGTTTTCTCCCTACTCTTTATCCAATTATTGTCATTGTTGTTGATACTACCATCCCAACAAACAGAAACAAACCTATTCTCATGCTTATAGAAATGATAGCACCTTGGTCTACACGAGGGAGCTATTTCAAAATAATTTCCCTTATTCTGAAATAACAAGCAGAGCATCCATACTCTAGTTATTTCAAAATCATAACTCCAGCTTTCCATAAGAATAACACTTATTTTGAAATTGTTATTTTGAAATCATGTTAGTGCAGACATGGTACTTCAAAATTATTATTTCCCGAGTTATTATTTTGAAATAAGTTATTTCAAAATAATTTCCTAGCATAGATATGTCCTGACAGAGTAATAGGTTTCTTATATTTACATTTAGAGCACCTACCTACACTGTTTATATAATTACATCATATGTCTTGTTACTTTTCCTGCAAACAAGGAAGTGCTATTTCAAATAAAAAACATTTACTAAGGCAAAACATTCTGATACCAGGTGTCTATCTTCAGAAGGATGGGCTATCCATATGCATGTGGTTAGAAATGTACAAGCTAAATAAATATATTTTAAAAGCTTACTCCTGCAGCTGTCTTTATCTGTTCAGCTGCATAAACTATGAAGCACCCACCTCAGCTTGGGTTTTCAACTTTTTAAAACATTAAAAGAGGACTGTAACGTCAGTTCATTTTATGACTTTTTACAGTGCAGTACAAAAAGAAGATACTGTTTTGCTGAATAAATAAGAACTTATTCATATCATCATAGCAGCACTGCAATAAAATAATTGTAAACACGGATAATCAAATTATTCTCTGCTTACAACTTATCCAGCAAATGGTATCATTTTTCTGGATACAGTTTATGTGCAAAGGAGAATAATTTATGGAAATGTGTTCATCTGGAAAAATAACTGTTGCAATAAAAACAATCCTTCCATGTGTGCCATGTAGTTCAAAGTCACATTGTATTGTAACTATTTTCCAACAGGAGTCTAATTTTCTGTCTCAAATTTTAAATGTTCATAATTGCTTCAAGACTCTATTAAGTGAAAAATAGGAAGCTTTTTCAAAATATGTCAAAGCCTTTCAAATTTAAATACTCTCCCCAACATTTATTCACACTATTATTCATGATATCTTTAATTTCTGGAAACATTCTTGCAAATAAGATCTCACACCAAAGCCAGATTCTATTATCTTCACTAACATTAGAGACTACTCGCATACTAACATATGCCTAACAGGAGTCTAATCTGGTCCTAGATCAATAATTTTTTTTTTAAATCTATCATATATACACTATTTTGAAGGCAAAATTTGAATCTGCAAGAAGTAAAACTAGTCAGAATCATTAAGTTCCATGCAGGCAACTTAGTTTTGAACCAGGGTAATAGTCCTGTTAGTACATTGAGTTCAGCTAAGCAGTTTAGCATACATTTTGTATTGCATGCAGAGTTGTATGCAGCTCAGCATACATTTTGGACAGATGATGTTCATATTATGCAAGAGGTGGTTACATTCAGTTACAGGGTCAACTGAAGACCCCATCTTCTTATAATGAAAAAAATGAAGGTAGGTTACTTAGAATTTCTTTTTCACTAAAAAGATCTGCGAACTATGGAATGACTTGACTAAAGTGAAGGGAACCATTCTCTATCTACAGGAGTGCTCACCACCACCAGATAGAATTTCTGAAGAATTCAGATATTCATGGTGCTGGAGGTGAGCTCAGTAGAATTGCAGTGCTACTGTCCCTTACTAGTACAAACAGATGTTGTAGAAGTGTTCAATACACCCAACGTTTCCAATGATACCCTCAGTTCCACTAGTTATTTTCATATTGCTCTCATTATTATGCATAGTAGCTGACTAAGTACATGTTACATAATCCAGCAATATTATAACTATAATGTAACTGTGTGAAGATTTGCTCCCATCTCAATTCAATCTTTTAATTTTCAAAATTTGGAGGAATAAAAAAGTAGAGGTTGGACAGATTAGTGTCATGCTGGGATGCATAACCTGCAAACTTATGACCTGCTAATGGGACTTCTAAGTTTTACATAGTTTCCCAAAAAAACACCTGAATTTGTAAAACACGCCTTCTTGTCTTATCTGTGAATTTTTCTTAATCTTCAAAATCTTTATCTAGATTCTCCAAAGAATTCTAGGAATAGAAATAGGTTGGCAAGGACTCCTTGCAAAACAAAATGTAATTCCAGTATTCAAATTGATTAGGAATTTCTTTTGGATGAAGCATATACTCTAGCCATAGATACACCAGTGGATATCTGAAAGGAAGTTAAATTTCTATAAAAGGAGACAATGTTACATGGTTTCTCCTGCTTTTCAAAGGGGGAATTCAATCTGAAACTTAATAGGCAGAATAAATGGCAGTTGAGAAAGTAGCAGTGTCCATTTTACAACTGTTGTCTTAGGTGGCCCAATCTATCTTCTGAAAAGAGAGAGAAAAAAGAACACTGAACTAATAATGACATTTCTGTACCACTGTTCATATTAAGGATTTATTATAGTTTTGTTATAATCTTACAAATTAATATATGTTGTACTGCATCATGCACCTGATTCTCAAGAGGCCAACAACATTTATTAGCAATCAGGTTTGGAATGGTCTGTTATACAACTGTAGGACAATTAAGGAAAAGGTTAATGGCAACCTTTTAGCAGCCATTATTTTTCATTTAAAATATTTTTACCCCACCTCTCTATTAAAAATATTTGAGGCAGCTTACAAAAGCCCGCTAAAACACCTCAAGAGGAGGGACACACACACACACACACACACACACACACACACACAACTAAACACCAATAAAAGCACAGGTAAAAAAGGGTGGCCTTGGCGTGACACCGAAACAGTGCCAACATTGGCACCAGGCACATGTCCAGGGAGAGAGAATTTCATAGCATAGGGGCAAAGGCTAAGAAGGCCCTGCTCCGTGTAGATGTCAACCTCATCTCCATAAGTGGAGGAACATGGAGCAGAGCCTCCCCAGCTGAACTCAATCCCCAGGTGGGTTCATATAGGGGGAAACAGTCCTTCAAATACCCCGGTCCCAACTCATTTAGGGCTTTATAAGTCATAACCAAGACCTTGAATTGTGCTCAGAAACATACTGGAAGTCAGTGCAGCTGCTGGAGCACCTGCATAATGTGCTCTGTATAACGAGTATTAGTTAAAACTCGAGCAGCTGCATTTTGCACCAGCTGAAGCTTCCAAAGACTTTTCAAAGGCAGCCCCACGTAGAGCGCATTATAATAATCCAATTGGGATGTGACAAGAGCATGAATCACTGTAGCCACTTTGTTCTTATTCAGAAAGGATCACAGCTGGTGGATCAGCCAAACTGCCCAAAAGCTCTCCATTTTCAAATGTTAAAAAATGGTCCAAAATGACTCCCATGCTGCATACCTGTTCTTTCAGGGGGAGCATGACCCCACCCAGAACAGATAACACATCACATTCTCAGCCAGATGGTTTCCTGATCCACAGGACCTTTGTCTTACCTGGATTCAGCTTTAACGTATTCAACCTCATCCAGTTCATCGCTGCCTCCAGACACTGCTTCAGACTGATCGCTGCCAAACCTGGATCCAATGTCAGAGAAATACATTTTGGGTGTCATCTTCATATTGATGACACCATTCTCTAAATCTCCTTACGACCTCGCACAGCAGTTCATGTATATATTTAAGAGCATAGGGGACAAGATGGAACCGTGCAGGACCCTGCAGCACAATCACCATGGGGTCTAACAGCAGCCTCCAAGCACCACCTTCTGAAAGAGTCCGGACAAGTAGGACTGGAATCACTGCAAGACAGACTCTGATACCCAACTCCACCAGACACTCTTGAAGGATATCATGATTGATGGCACTGAAAGCCACTGAGAGGTTCAAGAGAATCAACAGGGATGCACTCGCCCTGTCTGTCTCTCGGTGTAGGTCATCTACCAGGGCAACCAAGGTGGTTTCTGTTCCAAAACCAGGCCTGAAGCCAGACTGAAATGTATGTAGACAATCTGCTTCTTCCAAGAAAGCTTGGAGTTGCAGTGCTACCACCTGCTCAAGTACCCTGCTCAAGAAAGGAATATTAGTGACTAGATTATAGTTATTCATATCACAGGGATCCAGGGAAGGCTTCTTAAGGAATGGCTTTATCACCTCCTCTTTCAAGATGGTGGGAACCATCCTAGATCTAAAAGATGCATTCATAATCCTCTGGATCCAATCAGTCATTGCTTCTTGGCTCGATTTAGTAAGTCATGAAGAGCAGGAACCAAGTGACAAGCACCTTGCCCACATCCTCAGTCTGCAGAAGCTGAAACTCATCCAAAGAAAAATGACTGGGTGGTGCATTCAACACATTCTGTACCCCGCTTATATGACAGCCAGAGTCCAAATCAGACCGAATGTGAGTAATCTTATCTGCAAAGTGCTTTGCAAACAAGTCACAGTGGATTGCTGAGGACTCCTCCATTTCATCACCAGGGCCCGGCTGTATGAGGCCCCACACCACTCGAAACAAGTCTGCCGGACAGCACTGTGCAGATGTGATGCAGGTGAAGAAGTAAGTTCTTCGCAGTCAGCACTGCCACAGAACAGGCGTGGAATTTGGCTCTAATCTGCAGTCAATTGGACTTGGCTCAAGATCTCCTTCAGCGGCGTTCTAGCTGTCACACAGACCATTTCGCCACCTGTAATTACCCTGAAAACCAGGGGGCAAACTTAGTTCAACTAGCCCAAAAAGGGTGCTTAGGAGCAATCAAGTGCCACACCCAGGCTACCTTCTGTAAGTGAAGTGGCAACTTTCACCTAATACCTCAATCTGGCTGAAACACTCTCACCCCAAAATCTCTCTGATCTAATTTCTGCCTCCTAATAATGCTGCCTTCCCTCAAATTTCTTGTGGAAGTTTAGTAATTTACTTTAAAGAACTAACACAGATGTTCCAATCAGTCAAGATTAGACATTGCCAAGTTAGTTCAACCAAGTGATGATACTTCTGAATACATAGATCACATGCAAACATGTAAACCAAACTGCCATTCTAAGGGAGCACAACTGTCCATCTAGTAGTCTGCTTCCAACAACTCCAAAGCCTTCAAAGGAAAATATGATACCCTTAATAACCCATTATCTCTGATATTCCATAAAGATCAGTATGAATCCAGAACACAAAGCATAGGTAATAAGCGATATCAAGTATGGCTTCATATGTTACTCTTAGTTTTAGAAAAGAATCATGTTTTGAAGAATAGGTTGCAAACAAAGCATGCAGCAGTTGTGGGAATGTTTGGTATTTCAAAGTGGATCCCCAGTGCTGATGTGCGTAACTCCTTGAAAGTTAAGATCGAGAAACAGGCCATTTTTTTTGTTCTTTTGCACTGTTTTTATAGTTCTGAAATAAGAAAAATAAATTGGAACTTTGCAATAAGAAGTATAGCCATCATTAGTCATTTATTTAAAGCTGTAGATTTACACAGTGCTTTAAAAACAGAGAAACACATTTTCTTTTCCCCAAACAGCTTGCAATCCAAGACCTCAATCTTACAAAATATATTCAAGTGCTTAATTTAAAGCACTATGGTTCATTCCATTGAAGTCAACAAAGCTACACATGCAAGTCTTTATCTACACAAAAACTTGCACTGAAATAAATCAGTTTTAGTGCACATTTTTGGCTGTTTTTGATGCAAGTTTGTATGTGATAGAATATTTTTATTCTAAAATAATTGTATTTTGATTTTTAAAATTCCCTTGTTGGCTTTACCTTAAATCAGTAGCTAAAAAAAACAAAAAAATAGGACACTTTTATTCTGAAATAAATTTCCACATCCAAGTTTCCATCAAGAAAACACAAAGGAACAATTAAATATGACTGAGTTACAGTATTTCAGTATGTGAGACTATATACAAACAAAGTGAAGAACATGCTTAAGTGTTTTCAGGACCTTTAGAAGTTGTCTGAAAGTTGATGTACAGATATTTAATTCCTTCCATATTAGTTTTTATCCAAGTTTATTTTGTTTTAATTTAATTTAATTTATTATTTCAGTTGGCATTATTTACCCAGTTGCTTTTTGGTGTAAAATACATAGAAAGGTTTACTTAGCCAGTGACTTTAAGAGGATCATTAATAAATAAACATGCTTCCTCCAGTTTTCATAAGATGTATCACTCTTTTATAACATTTTCTCTAATGTCTTTTGAAAAGGCACAAAATGAAAATATTACATTGTCATAAATATTATAAACTGAAATAAGGCTAATATTAGCCCTAACAAAACATAAAACAAGTAAAAATGTCCTACTGGAAAGAGGCTACTTAGGATTTAATAGTCTTCTCCCCCACATACTTTATTTGAAGAAAAGCTTTTGAATGTTGTAAACATATTTTGCTTGAGAGCAGGGGGTAAAATGTTTAGTTGTATCAGTGCAGATGGGAGATCCCATTTCAGCTAGAATTGTCAAATGGTTTCAACAAAAATACTGAACACACTAGACATTACATCACAATCTACATTACATCTCATTCAGAAAATACCGGAGGCTACGTCTAAATTACACCCCTCAGTCGGCAAAGAAATGTAAATTAGACGTATCAAAAGTGCAAATGAAGCCGGGATTTAAATATCCCACACTTCATTTGCATAATTGCAGCTGCCGCTTTTTTCCCAAAACGGGGTTTTTTGAAAACAAACAAACCAGCAGTTTAGATGGGGCATTCTCAACTAGAAATAATCTGAACATTAGCGACTGGACTAGCCCTTTCATACCCATTAACTTTTAACTCGTTTGGTATAAAATTATTTATTTTTTCCTTTAAACTGTACAACAACTTCTGCCTATGCGACTCTCTTTTCAAAATTTACTGTTTTGTAAACTTCTATCATCTCAGGTAATGTAAGATTCATGCTCTTGTCACATCCCAATTGGATTATTATAATGTGAGATTTCCCAAATATATGACTGACATGCTCTATAAGACACAAAGGAACATCACTCATTTCTCAGTATGTGCCACCTGAAACTCTCAGGTAGGGAGAACAAGTAATGAATCACAGATGTTCTATATCTAGAATCCCAGTATCTTGATTCTCTCGCTGGGGCGAGGTTGAAAAGAAGTGACACGTATTAGGTTTTTCTCCACAAGTTTGTTATAAACAATCTGACAAAAACATGAATTAACATAAAAATGTCAATGAGTCTGCATTTGGCTATCACCAAAGGGAAATATTTTTTTCGTTCTAGGCTCAGAATGACCACAAGGTACTGACCAAGGATCCTGATTCCTCCCTCCTTGAAATGTTGCAGTAATGAGAGAAAAACAACACCTGCATACAAAAACAAAATGGTCCTGTAGCACCTTAGGGCATGGAAATTATTTCCAAGTAATTTATTTCAAAATAATAATTCCTGGAATAACTATTTAGAAATAGAGGATCTTCTCTGCGAGGCAGCATCGAAATAGCGCAGAATTATTTCAAAATAGTGTGTCCACATTCATTGGAGCCTGCATCACATATAAAGCCCCTGGAAGCATTCCAGAGAGGGCACCAGGAAGGTGGACATTTCCTGTAGTTTCTTGCTAATGTTAGCTGAGACGGGGGCTCTTCTCCAACTGCCTACCCCCTTGTGGGACACCAAACTCATGCTGTGTGCTCTGGTTGTCCTTGTAGATGCCACAGCACTTATAACATGGAGCTGGAGCTGATGGAAAGCAGTGCCAGGCTCAGGGGCCTCATGCTGAGCCTAATGGCACACTTCATCCACACTGCCCACATGCTGTTTCAGGATGTCAATGACCAGCCCAGCCCAGACCAAGACCAAGTAAACAAAAAATGCAGAATGAGGGAGAAAAGACAAAGATGGCAAATAAGAAGACATGACAAATTTAAAAAGACAAGAAATGAAAAGCAAGTCAATTATTAAATATGTATAGAAAATTACAAAATATAGACATTATTAAAAGCAGTGAATATCCAAGTATTTTATATAATGAAACAATCATATATATTTACTTTACATTTTATATATGATGGAACTTTCTATCAATTTTTTTAAAGCCTGATAGGAAACTGTTCTCATATGGAGAACGGATTTTGGTGTGCTATCCATATGAATATAATATTGTAGAGCTCTCTTGGTTTTTGTTGGTATTGAACAATCTAGAGTTATGTCACATTCTTTATATCGATGCTAGCAACTGAATGACAAAAGTTTTGTCTTTCAGATGTGTTAAGAAAGGCCCATTCCCAAAAGACAAATATTTTGCTAATGACAAGCGCTGGTGTAAACAGCACTTGGTCAGTAGGAATGCTCTCCTGTCAACAAAGCTATCTGCCACTTGGTGGATGGAAGTTTTTTGTTGGCAGGACAACCAACAAACAGTGGCTACAGTGCATGGCACTGTACCCTAAAATAAATTACAGCATGACTGTTTTGTTTTGCGGGGGGGGGGGGGGTTGCTGTGCATTTCTTTTTGCTTATAAATTAAAACCAAACATAATTTAACTATGGATTTTTTCCCCTGAAGGATGGAATTTTCATAATTAATCAGAAAAAAATGGGGGGAGGTGTATAAA